TTTGGGGTGTCACCCAGCAGCTTTGGAGGAGCAGCCCGCGGTGTGAGCTGGATATTCAGTCAGGCCAGCCTTGGGGGGCTGGTTCTGTGCGGTGGTGTGCAGAGCTGTGCTTCTTTCGCAGGACGGCCTGAAGCAGTGCCTCTCCGAATTCAAGCAGCAGCTGGCTTGGGTGGAAAGGCTGGATGTGACTTTGGGCCAGGTCGTGGACCCCGTTTCACAGAGTGCTTCTAACAAAGATGCTGTTGATCCTGAGAATGATTTCCAGAGAGAGATGAGCTTGTAAGTGTCAAAAAGGGAGATTTCTTGTCGGGTCTTGGCATGCTGCTGGGTGCTTGGACTCGTGTTTCGCAGGTGTGCTGCAGACTGCCACATTGGCTGGCACTGTTGAGCTCTTGGGCCATGTATTTTACATTTGATGGCCCTGAGTGTTTTCCAAAATAACTGCAAATTAATGAGAGTATATTTAACTCCTTGCATCAGACTTCCATCCTTTGCTGAAACGTTTATTTTAAAAGTTCCTTGTTTGCAGCACCATGGCTTTAACACAGGATATGGATTTTTCTTTGTGGATTTGTTTTGGTGTTATTACAGTTCTCTTGTTTTGCCTTGCCTTTTATAATCCAGTATATAAAACTGTAACTGGAAACTAGATAAATGTATATGTGCAAGATATAAGTGTTAATATTATACTGGCATATAAATTGCTTTTGGTAGCACTGAATGCTGTAGGGCACAGCACGGTGATACAATTTTAAATCAATGCTCGTTAGATCCCAGTATCAGCTAACTTACGTGAGCAGAGTTTCTGCTAGCACTGTGAGGTGCCCGATACCCAGTGACAGAGCTGGTGCTGTGCTCTCTCCCTAGTTACCGGCAGGCTCAGGCAGCGGTCCTGGAGGCCCTACCTAGGTTGCGTAAGCTCCAAGTTCCTACTAGAAGGCCAGATGATTACTTTGCAGAGATGGCCAAATCGGACCAACAGATGCAGAAGGTATGTGCAGTGAATAATGGTTTTGTTGCCTGTGTTGTGTGTTGGTTTTAGCCTGTGTTAGGGATTAACTTTAAGCTGTGATGTGTGGATACTTTCCTTCATCTCTTTGACAAATGCCTGTGACAATCTTTGTGTTTGAAATTTTGTTTCTGGCAGGAAATTTCTTCCTGTTTAGGTATTCCAATGCAATATGGGGATTTCCATAATAGGCTGGAACATAAAGTAGAAAAGCACGATTTATATTCTGTCCTGAATGTATTTAATATTAAAAATGGAGACTTCTCCGTATGTGTGACAATGGTTGTAATAGTTGGCTGTGTTTGTGCTCTTTGGCCTAAGACTTGCAGTCAACTGTGGTATTAACGTGATCCTTTTTCCTTGTTTGAGTGTCACCCTTTGTTTATACTTAGTGTGTTTTGGTTCTCTGATTTTAAACTGTGTGTTATTGAATTAATCTATCATAGGTAGCAAATCAGATTTGTGTACAAAATAAGAATTTCATGAACTTCCTTCTTGATTGTGGTCTTTGTTCAAAACAGAACCTAATTTTTATTTTAGTTTTGGAAAAAAGTCTACATTGTAGGAGTTAAACTAACATGAGCTGGAATCTAATTTGGAGATTCGTGTATGACTTAGTCACTGTTTTGGTGGCTGACAGAATCTTCCTAGAGAAGGTGGATATTAATAATTAGCTTGTGCTGAGGCTTAAGTGAATTCTGCACATTACTGTTGCCTTCTTTTGCTGGCTTCTGTTTGAAGAACAGAGTTTTTTTCTCCCTGTGGAGTCACAGACTGATTAGAAGATCTGTGTTGAAATCTTTGTAATCCCTTGTAATGCAGCATCCTTATAGAACTGTTTGTGCACAAGAAGGGAACGAAAAAGATGTCTTCTATGGCATGGAAGGGTTGTTGGCTCTTCTTCAGTGCTTTACTTTTAATAAAGATGAGAAAGAAACTATCAAGTCTTCTACACACACCTGAGGAGACTGACAAGATGTGATGAGATACTCTTGTTTAGCAGTTCCATTAGAGCCCATTATAAGGCTTTGTCTTGTCTCTGTGTAGATTTTGTCTTTTTAACCAGATTGTCGCTACAGATCAGTTCAGGAGTTTCTGTAATAACTGTTCCAGCCTTGAGCTGAAAGAACATTATGCCTTATAGAGCATTATCTGATTGAGGGATGTTTTTGTTTTTACGCTCGTTGATTGTTCACATAATTATTGATTTCAGGACTGCATAGCAGTCATAAAATTCTCATATTTTTTCTGCATTACTGATAAATTTTGTTTTTTCTGTCCCCTAATAAGATTCGACAGAAGCTTAAGAGTAAACAGGAAGCAATGGAGAGGTCTGAGAAAGCAAAACAGCTCCGTGCAATGAGAAAATATGGCAAGAAGGTGAGGAGGAGATACAAAAGGGACCTATCTATGACAAGAATCTAAAGCCTGAGTGAGTAGCTTAGAAAGTGAGACCACAGGAGACTGGCCAAAATATATGGAATCTGTCTAGTCTTCTGGCTAGCTGCTGTGAAGGAAGACAGAGCTAAAGATGGGATACTTCTTAAAAAAAAAAAAGTATGGGACACTACAAGGAACAACACTAACATTCTGGTTCTAATTCAGGTGCAAACTGAGATTCTGCAGAGGAGACAGAAGGAGAAAAAAAATATGTTGAATGCAGTCAAGAAATACCAGAAAGGTAAAGTGAACTTTTCTAAGAGCAAATGTGTAATGGGAATAGTGATGTGTGAGCAATGTAAGGCAGTGTGATGTGTGGTGTCAATCTGTAGTGCTGAGCAGTGAGCTTGAAAGGCTGCTGCTGTGCAGAATCATATGCCAGTGGCAGTGAAAGATCTTCCAAAGCAGCTGCTCGGCAGTGAGGGTGACTTGTTGCTATTACTTGCTTAGATTGAAAATTCATATTTTCTGTGGTGGTAGCTGTTATGTCTTCTCTCTTGCAGGTCTCTCTGACAAGCTGGATTTTCTAGATGAAGAGCAGACGTCATCTCAGGGGACTAAAAAAGGCAATGCAAGTCAACGGATAAAGAAGGGGTGAGACCAGAAAAGAAAGATACTTAAACACAGAATCTCTGATTTTTTTTTTTCCAGTCTTTTAGGGGATCATTTTGTGGAACGAGAAAGCTGTTCTGATTAATATTTGTTAAAATAAGTCCAAGGTGGCTTTCTCTCCATAGAGGGGAGGAAAACTGTGGCCAGAACAGAATGGAGACTGAACTGTGCTAATTTCTGCCTTTTCTATATGAGGGGAAAGGTTTACGATGGCTGATGGGAGTCCATCAGCAGACACATTTACCTTCTTGAGAGCTTCCTGAGGAAAGGAATGGAGGCGATGATGCTGTTTGGTTGTTTTTTCAGACCAAATGCCAAAAGACGATACAAGAATCAGAAGTTTGGTTTTGGTGGGAAGAAGAAGGGCTCAAAATGGAACACAAAGGAGAGTTTTAATGACGTATCCAGCTTCCGGTCAAAAGTGGCTCACAACAAAGGCCTAGGAAAAGCAGGAAAAGGAGGGAAAAAAGCCCTCAATGTAAGTAAAATGTTGCGTGCAAATGATCCTGGTTGGCTAGGAAGCCAGTCCTGGTCTGGGAGGGAGAGCTGAGTACATGATGGGTGCCTCCAGCATCTGGAAGTGATAATGCCTGTCTTTGGGAGCTGAGCATAATTCAGTTGCAGACAGAGTTGAGGATGGTGGTTCAGTATTTCATCAGGGAAATGAGTGAGAGTGTTAGCAAGCACTATTTGTTGCTACCTGTTTCCCAAAACCTCCCTCTCCAGAGGTACTGACAAATATCCTCTCCTTGGTATCCTCCCCAAGCTATAGAGCTAGAACAAAGATTGAGGACATGAAAATAAAGTTCTAAATCTATCTGAATCTGTCCTTATTTTTAATCAGAAGAGACCTGGAAAGAGAACAAGGCAGAAAATGAAGAGTCGAGCGCGCTAAGAGGACTGTGCTCCCCAGTGGGGTTCCAGTGTTTCTGTGTGTGGCAAGATGTGTTTCTGCTGTCATCAAGCACCTAACTGTGGAGCAAGCTGGATGCTTCCAAGTGGCTAGCAAAAAAAAGTGGAAACTAGTGCCTTATCACTAATTTCTTCTTACTGTCTGTTATGTTGAAGGATTGTTTTCTACTTAAACCTTTGGTGTGTGAACACATTAAATGGTTTGCACAGAACTATGTCTAATTCATGTTTAGCTGTGTCAAGAATGGTGGCTGAAGCCTGCCATTTGTTCCCGTCATTTTGACAGCTTTTTCTACAGCTGTTGTTGACGTGTATTTGGTGAACTTCGAGTTCTGGGTCATGTTGCCAATGTCAAAATAAGAAGTCTAAAGCCTGTCAAGATGTTAAAGTGTTTTTTAGACTATTTATATAGATGGGTTTGGAAACAGTAGTGAGCAGCAATCTTATAAATAGGTTTATTTCTGTAACTATTGTCAGGCTGCAAATCTGGACAGACTAAGGTTCTCTCTTCCCTTTTCTCGCTATCTTTTCTTGCCAGAAATCTACCAGACTCACCTAATAACAAACAGGGCCTAACACATTAGATGTCATTAACTGCTTCTAAGTTGTGTGGCTTTGCTGCTCTACTACTGAAGGTTCTCAGACTGCTCCTCCCCATGCCCTATGGCAGCTCATTATTTAGTGATCTCGGTTCTCCGGCGTGGGAAGTAGAGTCTGCGATCAGTACGGTCCACGTGAATCTGGGGAAGAAAAATGATGAATAGTCATGTGCTTTTACTAGAATTAGTAGTAGTAGTGCTTCCTGAGAAGTGCTGCATGGTGTTCTAGCTGCTGAGAAATGCCCCAGTGACAAATGAGTAGGATACCACTTATTTGAGAATATACTGTTCACTGCTTCGTTACAGTAGAACCTGGTAAAAAAGGAAAACTTAACGTATGAAACAGGATCGTGAGTCCTGACTCTGTAAATTTAACTCACTTCCCTAC